TTCACGAAAATATGTTGAATTAAATTCACCGCAAGTGTACGGTTCGTTAACAAGTAGTAAAATGGATTTTGAGTCCAAGTATCGTTCCCACAAGGATTTATTAGTTCTAATTCTAATTATCTTAACCTTAACCGAAACAAATAAAGGAAAATGTTTGTGTTGATGAAATTATAAGTGAATTAATGATAAATATGCAAGTATGAATGAATTACTTAACTAAATGCAAAATGGATATGAATATGATTTGAGGTGTTTTCTAATATGTGATGAATGTGCTAGGTTCACGAATTCCTAAGTAATAATCTTTTTAACCCTAGTTTTACACCTTGACACACGATTGCAATATTGACAAATCAATGTTCCTAAATTATTCAACAATCTCTCTCGAGCAATGTTAAACCTATTCTCATATATGACCCAACTATATTTCTATGATGGATACGAACATACGAGAATGCATGAATTTTTATGAACACTTAAAAATTTACATAAGGCATAGCGGTATATTTCTATCCCCTATCGGACCCTATGATAATTTATATATGTCGAATTTATTTCCATTCTCTCGAATGCATGAAATAAATCACCAAACTCACAAAATTATTGTGCACTATAATCATGGAGAAAATAAGATCATATAAATCATTCAAATATTCCAAAACATGTTTTTGATGTTAAGTATGTAAAACTAAGAATTAAAAATCATAATACAAAGTTCATTGTTCCTCAGCACAAATTAATCTAGCATAACATGGTGGAGAGAAGAAAATCAGAAAAATAGATGAAGAACGACATCACCCCGATTTATCTTCAATTGAATCTTCGTGTTCTTGGAGTTGTTCTTCAAGTTCTTGTCTCTTTTCTCTCTGAAAATCTTGATAAAAACTCCCCTCCCCCTTTTTGGATGGCCGTAGGTTTTAAAATAGCCCCCAAGATTCGTTTCCATAAGAGTTGTATTCGAATTAGGAAACCAGAATTTTTTTCCTGAAATGACCTGGGCTAGCGACCAGTACAAAATAGGACGGCTACCCAGGCTAAATTTTTTGATTCTGTCGATAATTTTTGGTTTGGGCGGCTGCCTAGGCAAAATGGATAGGAGGTTGTCCAGGCTAAATTTTTGTCACTTTTCTTTTCCATCATTTTCTTCATTCTTTCTTCCATCTTGGTCATCTTCATCAAATTATTTCAATTGTAGTGCTTCAACTTTCCCCAAATGCATGTTGGTCCCCAAAACTTCATCAATTAGCCAATTCATCCTTCTTTCTTTTCCACTTGCTTCGAAACAGGTCCAAAACTGAAATAGGAAGTAAAATGCAATAATAAAACGACATAAAAACCAAGTAAAATGGCCCTGAATAAGTACACAAAAATGCACTTATCATATAGATTCCAACAGATTGACCTCCATCATACCTCTCTGTGGCACTGGAAAGATCTTCTGGAGTTGAATCTATATTCAAATTTTTTGAGTGGCAATCTCCTTCAAGAAATAGGGAATCTAATGGTTGCAACTCTTATTGATCTATCAGTGAATCAGTTCTTAGGTAGCATTCCAACCAGAATTGGAGATTTACAGAGCTTAGTCAATCTTTCCTTAGCACATAACATACTGCAAGGGTTTATTCTTGAGTTAATGGGCAAGCTGCTGAACTTGGAGCGACTCGATCTAAATCACAACAATCTTTCTGGTAAAATTTCTAAGTCCTTGGAGACACTTAATTATCTCACATACTTCGATGTTTCATTCAATGATTTAAGTGGTGAAGTTCCTCTGGTGCTCCTTTCAAAACATTTTCTAGTCAATTCTTTGTGTCGAATAAAGGAATATGTGGCGATCCTTTATATGGTCTCCCACCCTGTCATACTATTGGAAATGGTAGACAAAGGAGACGAAAAGTGATGCTTGGAGTTGTATTTGCTTTGTCGGGTACTATAGCACTAATTATAGTTGCCATGGCCTTGGCATGTGCAGTTAAAAGTTACAGAAGGAAAAATTTGGGGGAAAGTATAACAGACTTTGCACCTCCCACAACTCTATCGAGGGTCTCATATTATGAGCTTATGCAAACAACTGAAGGGCATAGTGAAAGTCATTTACTTGGATCTGAGACTTTTGGCTTTGTCTATAGAGGGACTCTTAATAATGGAAGGGATGTGGCAGTGAGGCGTTCAATTTGCAACACCAAAATGCATTCAAGAGTTTTGATGTAGAAAGTGATGTCTTGCGCAACCTTTGACATCGAAACTTGTGCAAAGTCATTAGTACTTGCTCCAATCCAGATTTCAAGGCCTCGAGAAGTGGTTATATTCAGACAGCTATGTCTTGGATAGCTTGCAGAGAATTAACATAATGATAGACATAGCATGTGCATTGGAATATCTGCATTACGGTTATCCAACACAGATTGTTCATTGTGATTTAAAGCCAAGTAATGTACTGCTGGATGACGACATGGTTGCCCACTTGTGTGATTTTGGAATTGCCAAGTTACTGGATGAGGGAGAAAGCAATACACATACTACAACCCTGGGAACATTGGGTTACATTGCACCAGGTAAAGCTTCTATCTTTTCTCTTGAACTTTTAGGTACGTTAGGTATAAATAAAAAATAAGAGTTAAATTTAGTCCAGCACGTTTACTTTTTCTTGGCTAAATAGGTCCTTGTATTAAGATAGTTAGTGTTGGAACATGAGTTGAAGGTGGATTAGACTTAAAACATGGGCGGACCCAAGGGGGGTCCTGGGGGGGCAAGTGCCCCCCTACTTTTGAGATTCCTTTTTTTTTTTTTTTAAATCACGTTTGTTATCGATTGAAATTTAAATTTAAATTTAAATCAATGTTAAAAATTAATTTTAATAACATCTTTTCATAGAATTCATAACTATTTAATTTGTACCAAAATTTATTGAAAATTTGATTTTAATCTCCACCAAGCAGTGGCAAAATAAAAATAAATTTGAATTTC